CTTTCCCCCACCATTTCCCCCCTTCTTCTCCCCCTTGGTCCTCTGTTAAGTTCCTCCTAATCCTCCTATACGTGCAAACATATGATATTTGTCCTTCTCTGCCTGACTTATTTCACTCAGCATAACACCCTCAAGGTCCACCCATGTTGCTACACATGGCCAGATTTCATTGTTTCTCATTGCCATGTAGTATTCCATGGTATAGATAAATCACATCTTCTTGATCCATTTGTCCCTTGATGGACACTTAGGCTCTTTCCATGTTTTAGCTACTGTGGAGAGTGTGAATAATGGGGTACATATGCTCCTATGCATCAGCATTTCTGTATCCCTTGGGTAAATTCCTAGCAGTGCTATTGCTGGATCATAGGGGAGTTCTATTGTTAGTTTCCTGAGGAACCTCCACACTGTTTTCCAGAGGGGCTGTACCAAAGAGAGTCTACTTTTATGTCACTGCTACAAGAGTCAAATTCTCAGGCCCAAATTTACAAGTAAAATTAAGAAACTATCAAAGTGCTACTAAAAAGGTATCTTTGGAGATCTTTTACTGATTAGAGACATGTAAGATAGAGACTATGGAAAAAATTTGTGTGGTTGTAAATAGGTGTCAATCACTGAATTTTACTTGTTGAAATAAAGAGTAAAAGAAAATCAGTGAATATGTAAAATAAGTGACCTTTCTAAAGCATCTTGTGAGAACCAGACAATTCTTTGCCTAGCCCTGGAGTGACTGCTCACATACTTACTTTCTCCACATGGCAATGAATGACTGTGCGGACACAAATCCTGTCCTTTCTCCCCCTGCAGCCCGGAACATGGGGGCTTTCCAATACAGAGGACATCCACAGAGCTGCAAATAAAACACAAATACAGTATAAGCTAAGGAATATTGAAAAGATGATACAGCCAAACAATAGGACTTCGTGGCTTTTACCCTTCGTGTCACAGGTCCTTGGGGGAGAAAAAACTGGGGCGGAGGCAAATATACCAGCTATTCAGAGAGAGACAGAGGGGAAACAAGAGGACTCCATGTTTAATGAAGGAAATGGAAATCCATCTGACCTTTTCTCCAAGGTCATCTACAGTGCTATGTCTTTCCCTTTCCCAATAGTTAAAGTAACCAGTCTGCCTTCCTACCACTCTCACATCATATATTTTCTACCTTCTAAAAAGAAAAATGACAGAATGTCATGGTTGTATATGTCCTTCCTACTGCAGAAACATACAGCCACATTTAATACTTGGTCACCTGAGTATGAATATACTCTCCCACCCATCTCCCTCTCTCTCCTTTGCCTACTATGTTATTAAGCCCCAGGGTCCGGAAGAACTAGAAAGTCTAGATGGCTAAAGAAAATAGTCATCTATGAAAAAAATTTTTTTAATGTTTACTTATTTTTGAGAGAGAGAGACAGAATTAGGGGGTGAGGGCAGAGAGAGAGGGAGACACAGAATTGGAAGCAGGCTCCAGGCTCTGAGCTGTGAGCACAGAGCCTGACACGGTGCTCAAGCTCATGAACCATGACCTGAGCCAAAGTCAAATGCTCAACCAATTGAGTCACACAACTCCCAATTTTTTTTTTAGATTTTATTTATTTTTGAGAGAAAGAGACAGAGCATGAGTAAAGGAGGCAGAGAGGGAGAGAGAGAGAGAAAGAGGGAGAGAAAGAGAGAGAGGGAGAGGTATAGAATCCGAAGCAGATAGCCATCTATTTTAAATGGTTACAGTGCAGGTAAAAGATTAAAGATAAAATTAAAATGCTATCATTTATTTATATATTAGAAGCAACCAGAAATGACTACATATAATAAAAGCCTTAGGAGGTACTGGGAATGAATATGAAACTACAGTACTCTAAAAGGTGTTGATTCTTTTTCTTCAATAAAAAGATGTTTCTTTCAATTAATTATATTTTTACAAGAAAGACTTCTTACCAAATTTACCTTTTTTCCTAGAGGGAAAATTCTTTCAAGTAATAATAATATATAAATAATAGCAAAGAAATAGTCTCTGAATGTTTTAATTTCGTATATACACATAAAACATTCCCAAATTGGAACCCTTCAAATAGTCATCTCTTGTAATTAAGGATAGTCTTATTATTCATATAAGACACAGGATCTGTTGAGCCTTCATCATTCTAAAAAGGGAAGCTTTTCCTCTGAAGATTCACTAGATGTGAATCCATACCGGATTCTAGTGAAGCTGTTCCCTGTGTGAGGGACCCCACAGAAGCCTGAAGAGTACTTCATCTGGGATAGTGACTCTGAGTTAATGTTGAGAGAACACCCACGGCTTCTGGATTCATGTCAGAGATGAGGATATGGAAGGTGAGATTCAAGCCATGGGAGGGAAGTACAGGGCAGAATTAAGAGGCTGCTCCTGCTAGGGCCACTAAAGCAAGTATGTTCTGCAAACAGGGTAGACCTTAAGATTTCTTAAGTCCAAAGGTCAAATACCTCCACTGAGGTCAAGAATGAGGGAAAGGTGTTGCTTAGCAACCAAATGGATTTTGTTTATTGTGTAAATTATGACTGCCAAAGTACAAAGCTCACAATTAATATACTTTGGGTGGTAAACTGTCAAATCCACTTTCCAATCCCAATTCTCCCTTTCATGCAGAATGTTAGTTTGCCAAGAAAATGTTCTTAGATGTGACAGGCTACTGGCAACTGTTAGGAAAGCTTGAAAGAAAAGTCTGTATTGTAGAGGTAGGAGTGCAGAGCCCAAAACGGAGAAAGTACGTAGAGGGAGGGATTGGAAGTGGCTTTTGCCAAAGTGCTTGAAACTCCCACCATTATAGTCACTCATGGATTTTTTAGAATTGGAAGGGCTCAGGAATCTTCTAGCTCAACTTCAGGAAATGGTTACCATTCTTAGCTGAAACACTACCTGGAGCTTTGTGCTGATCATATCCTGTGGGGCTACTTCTGCTGTTAAACAGCTTTCTTAACTTTCTTTCCCTTGGATTATACTCTTTTCTCTAGAAGACTCCTGTTAAAATGCATACATGTCAACTCCTGAGGAATAGTAAGTGACAGAGAGACTGACACATAAATTTATGTCAAAGGCAAAATCCTAAGAGATAAAGTATAGAATGGGTGTGTTTTAAAATAGACTGATAAGGGCTGGCCTACTTTTCTCATAATGGGGTGCCCTAAGGGGTCATGTATTAGGCAGCATAAGAGTATTAGCCCTTGAAGAAAATGACGAAGGAAAAAAAATGCAATATAGATGTTACACTCTGGCTACTTAAAAAAAATGTATGGCTGGGTGTACCTGCTCAAAATCAAAGAATTAAGATTAAGGGAGTCAGGAGATCAATAAGAAACCCAAAAAAGTAAATGATATTAATCTGAGAGCAACAGAATAGAGACTTTAATAACAGAGGAGAGAACAAGTCAGTGTCAAGACTTTTTACAAAGGGAAAGGATGGATGACAAGGGGAGAGAGATACAGAAAATGGGGTCAGGGAACTCAGATTTAGAGGAGGTAGCAAGAGTCAGTATATGGTAGTTGCTGGAGCAAGGAAAACTGAACACCTATAATTTGATCAAAGAATGGCCCAGCAACATAAAGAACTGAAAGCAAGGTTGTCTAATGAGTCACAGAGTAGATGATTATCTAGTATGTGCAATGTCCTTTAACATTGTAAAATGTTATTTCATTTAATCGTCACATGATCCCCATGTAGAAGAGGGCAGGTATTTTCAGCCTATACTGTAGATGAAGAAATAATGGTACAGAGAAGTTGCCTTATAAGACACAGGCACGACAGGTCACGGCAATGCTCCCTCAGCCAGAAGAGAGGAGCTGACGGTCTCTGTATGGTTCAGAAGAGAGCCTCACTCTTCTTCCTACACCTCCTGCTAGAGGCCAAAACTCCATGGTGAGTCTTCTGGCCCAGTCCCTGAGAAGCACTTTTCTTACTGTTCCTCAGTATATGTTCCTACACTGCTTTTCTCTTAGCTTCATTCTCTAGATTTATTTCTTCTCCGTCATCACTTAGAGCTGTGGAAAAAAGCACAAACTACACACTGAGAATTTAATCAGAAATGGAGATTAATCTCTCTAGGGCTGTTTGAGGTCAAAGATGAATGAGCTACACTTCACTAACAGATGGAGATTTCATAAACATAGCGTTTTCTTTGCATTTCAAAAAAAAAAAAAAAAAAAGACCCCAGTCCCTATAGCTACACTTAAGTGGCACTGAGAGTAGACTGCAAACTCAAGCTGGCCTTCCAAAGAGCTTTATAGACTACAAGAATTCAGAGAAGTGTTCATTCATTGCTCCAACCTCCTCTTGCTTCACTGTCCATTAAAGGCCATCTTTCTTCTCCTTTACCTACAACCAGCTTGTCATGAGAATCCAAGCACACGGAGCACAGGTGCTGCAGGTGGAGTCCACTGCCCAGCAGCAGAGAAGACCAATCTGCATAGTAAAAACTAACTGAAAACAGGATTGCTCAGTGAATGTTAATAGATGGCCATAGCCAAGTAAAAGCTGGATTAAATGGAGATTAGCTAAATGCAAGAAATGATTAATTAAACTTTTTAAATAAACGGTTTTTAGCTCACTTGTGGTGAGCATAGCAGAATGTATACACTTGTCAAGTCACTATGTAGTACACCTGAAACTAATATCTAACACTATGTGGCAGCTATACCTCAACAACAAAAAGATAAAAAAAAATAAACGATTTAAAAAATGAAGAGGCAAAATCCAATAAAATGAACTCATTGAGTAAGGCAAAACAAAACAACACAAACCAATACACTTGTGATACCTACTGAGGTCACTATGTACCCATTTTCATTTTTATATGCAATGTTAGTTTTAACTTTTTGGAGGTATGGGCAGTTTATGTTGCTGCCTGAGCTGACAATTAAAGTCTAAGGGCAATGAATACAAATGCCTGGTACTCATGAAGGGAATGGAGGGCTATCATCAAGTATGATTCAGGCAAGTTAATCAGACAGTATACGTATACTGGCCATTGTACCCCATGAAGATTTGATGTAAGCAGTAAATTGTTATCTAAGTTACTACTACTATGGCTAAACACAATTTTCTTTTTAAATTTCTCTATGTTGTCAGCTTCAACACTGGTGGTTTTTCTTAATGTCACATACAGATTGATCCTCATTACCTGGAAAGAGCAAAGTCCTTCCTCTGACTCCCCAGCATGCACAGACCCCCTACCCTGACTAGACTACATTCTTTCCTATACCTCCCTTGACCATCTGTGGAGTCCTTAGGTTTTCTGCTCTCTTCCCACTGGACCATGGAGCAGGGCAAGGGCTACCACAATACAGGGGTAGGAGGACCAGAGCAGGAGTGGGGAGACAAGGCAACAGAAAAGCAGAGGAGAAGAGGATCCTTAGTCAGGGGTTAGGAATATTCAGAGGAAGGCTGACCTCTAGGACTTGTTTTCCAAACAGAACAGGCTGTAGGTCTCGGTCAGTGAGGCATTAAATGCCATGTGGATTGGCTCTCCAGATGTGGTGAGCCCAGCCCAGGACCAGGGAACTATTATATCCCTTAATCTGGACACTTTCTCCTTGTCTGCCTGCCTGAAGCAGTCCACGAAACTGCCTGTTTTTCTCTCACAGTCGCCATGTTAGAAATAACCCTGTTTGGCATTTATGCAGTTAACATGTTATCTCTAAATGCAGATTTCGTTCAGCCTTGCTAAATTCTGTCTTTTGGATTTAGATTCATAGTTCCAGTCCATTCAGATAATTTACCTTCTTGGCTCACACAGCTGCCATCTCTTAAAGCTTTGGGTAAGAAAACACCAATGCCCTGAAAGAACCTGTGGTTTATCTGGGTGGCTACTGATTGGAAGTTAGCCAACGGTATGTCAGCATATGTTCAGGGAAGATACCACATGGTATAAACAGCACAATGCCAGGAGCTGGAGGACTTGTCTCTGACATGTGCTAGTTGTGTGACTTCAGGTAAATGCTCATGGGACTTCAGTTTCCTCCTGTCTAAAACAAGTAGAAATAGGTGAGCTCTTACTTTTGCAAAAACAGTTTACTTTTCATTAGAAACATCTGAGGGATCAACAAGCAGTTTCTAAGATGGGGGGAGGGAGTGTGAAGAAAGAGGGAATAAAAGAAAGAATTCCTTTTCACTTTCCCTAAAATCACTCTATTTACAAATTATTTAATAGTAGTAACAAATGTTCTGAAAGCAGGTAGAGCAAAGGACAGGGCATGAGTGGAGTAGGGGCTTGGGGACTTCTTCAAAGACATGATGGAAGGTTTTAAAGGATGGGTGATGTGGGGGCTGGCAGGAGTGGAAGCCCATTTAGGAAGGGAAAAGAATGAGAGCCCAAATGCAGAGGCATGCCTGCAGGAGGACAAGTAGGTCAGGCTTCTGCAGGCAACAGTAGTTTGGGTTTTATCTTCAAGATCAGTAGTTTCCAAACTTTAAAATATTATTCCTGAAAGCAAGAGAACTGTGAAAGTGTGCATGCGGTCTTGGGAGCTTCTACTTGGTCTCTTACTTGCCCACATGCAATCCTTGGTCTAAATCCTTCTGCCTCTTGCAGCACAGCCTGAAACCACTGCTAAATCCTGAGATATGATCTGACTCTTCAATTTACATGCATGATAAAAATAAAACCCAAACAAAACAAAGTACTGCTATAGATGGGAGGAATCCCTGAATGCTGCTGAGCTGGGGAATGGCATGATCAAATATAATTTGATGCTCTGCTCAGTATTAATTGTTCTAGGAGACTGGAGATGTAGCATCCAGTTACTGAGGATGTTCAGTAGTCCTAGCATGAGAGGCTAAGATCTTAAATTAGAAGCAGTTGGGTATATTGGAAAATATTAAAGACTTGGTTCCTAGTGGCAAATCCATTTACTTCTGAGTAGAATTAGTGTTGAGCTGGCCCAATCATTCCTTGCCTGGCTCAGGGCAGAGTTATGATTAATGGGTACGAACAAAAAAAGACATTCATATTTAATACGAGGGAAAATTTTCTAACAAGTAAGGATATTTAATAAAGGAACTGGTTGTTTGGCAAGACAGTGAGCTTCTGGTCACTGAAAGCATTCAAACAGAGAATAAATTTATGTGTTAATGATGTCATGGATGGAATTCCTATCTTAAATGGGAAGATGGACTGGAAGACCACTAAGGTTTCTTCAAACTTATGAGTTACATGAAATAGGACCGCGGATGATATATCAGGATCAAATATATTTTTTCAACTTGGGAAAAAAACCTCGCCATGCTTAAAACCTGAGAGCAAAGAGGCAGTGAAGAGAGGGAGATTGGGATTGCTAGAGAAAGAGAGATTATACATTATTTAGTAGTTACATTACCTTTGCAATTTTTCCCATTTCATAGATGTCTGCTTTCTGATCTTCAATATCCATGAAAGCAGTTTCAATTTTGCTTAGAGTCTGTTCATGGTTACTGCAGGCATCTGGGAGTCCTTCAGGAAAGTAGAACTGTGGAATGTTTATGGACAATGGTGCATTCACAACATTATTCACATGAGGAACAGGGGAGAGAGGTCTGGGACTACTTGGAAAGGTGGCTGCAGGTGGTAGTGGTGTTCCAGGTTTCTTTTCTGGTTTATTTTGAATCTGGAAGGAGAATGTGATTATGAAACACAGAAATTCTAAACAGCATATATTTCTTCAAAGTCCTCACCAGTAACAAGAAGTTGGGTATAAATAAAAGCAGTCACAATTAAAGACAATAAGAGCTCACTCTACTCTAGAGGGTGATAAGCATGCTTCTAGGGAATGCTTATCCATACTATACAAATACATTCATTATCTGTCAATACCTGAGTTTATACAGATTTATGCTTTAAAAATCCTACAGTATATTTCCCATCAATTATGTGCCAGATATTCAAGAGTGGTGTTAGCTGAATATTAAGAATTGCAAGGTATATTCTCAGTCTGCTGGAAAAGGAGTAATAAATTCTTTTTGAAGACTATTATTCACCTTTCTGCATATTTCTACGTTTCCTTCAACAGGCAGATAGAATAAGTTCTTTCAAAATACATAAATGTATTGGTAGGGGGTGTCCGTTTTACCTTCTTCTCTCTACTTTGACTTTGTCTAGGTAAAATCACTGCCAGTTACTGATGCAGACAAAAGTCTTGTGAAGAAAATTAAAGCATTTTAGTTTGGGGATATCTTCTACCAGGTTGATTTACTTGCCCCTGAGGACATGACATTTTTTTTTCCCATGATACACATCACTCTCATTTTTGGTACCCTTTAAGAGGCAAGGATCATGGTCATTAATTTCATCACAGCCAAACCCCACTCATAGCTTATTAACTCACCTATAGTTCATATTATTCCTTTTCCCAAAAAAGATTTGATGTGGTATGCCATAAAGAGACATGAGAAAGGAGAGTATAAAAGCAGGGTGGGGGGAAGGCAATCAGAAGATTATCTATGATTTAGGGGAGGGGAGGTACACTAACATTCAGGTAGACGTCTACTTTACCAGTGAAGATTTACTTTACCAGTAAGTAAATTTAGTTCTGAACTTCCTAACCGAAAAAGCCAAAAAGATTCCATGGAGATTTTCAGAGTTTTAATTTCTTCTTTTAATTTTGACCAAATTACTATCAAGGTTCATGAGCATGGCATTGTGTTATATACTGCATGAAGTATGAAAGACTATTCTGACTACCATCACAGTTGACTACCATGAACACAAAATATTACTCAAATATTCATTTTCTTTAAATTATGCTAAAGCCATTCCTAAAATTTGAACAATGATTTATCTAAATAGTAGATCTGAATATCATATTTCCTTTTGACATATGGGCTCATAACATGATCTTTACATTCAGGATAAAAATCTTGGCTGCCCTTTGGGGCGCCTGGGTGGCTTAGTTGGTTAAGCGTCCGACTTTCGCTTAGGTCACGATCTCGCGGTCCGTGGGTTCGAGCCCCGCGTCGGGCTCTGTGCAGACTGCCAGCTCAGAGCCTGGAGCCTGTTTCAGAGTCTGTGTCTCCCTCTCTCTCTGACCCTTCCCTGCTCATGCTGTCTCTCTCTCTCCTAGAAAAAAAAAATCTTGGCTGCCCTTGAAAAGCAAGAGTTTTAGAGGAAGATAAGCTTTATTCACACAAATATGTGATGAATATGATTTAATCTGCTTTTTTCATATATGGTCCATTTCTCAGGTTAATATATGACACTAATACATAGAATGGAGTCTGCTCCTATATTAACACTACTGGGAATATAAAGGCTAGTTGGTCACAACAAGAATTTGCTGTAGTATCAGAATGTCACCTCTATAAAGCAACAGACAAGGAAAAAATGGCACAGAGAGAAGTGAGGCTAATGAAATATGAAAAGCTTAACTGAAAACAGTGATAGCTTACTAGCTCTGTGACCTCAGGAAAGTTATTTTACCTTTTAGAATTTTAGTAATAAAGCAGGTTATAACCGCTACTTCTTGGAAGGTTGTTGTGAAGGCTACAGGAAATTACAGGAAGTAACATAGGTAAAAGGCTGAGAACAGTACTAGGCACAGGTACGTTATTATTTAAGAAAATGAGGCACAAGGCCAAAGCATGAGATTCTCAAAAGTTTAAACGTAATTTGGCATGGACCTTCAGAATCAATAATAAAAAAACAATAATTTACATTTGTCAAACAATTTAAAGTTTATAAGCCACTTCTGATTTAACAAATTGATAATCTATTCTAAGTAAACATTTCTCTCTGCTTTGATGCCAAATCTATAAATATTATTACACAGTCTCAGGAGGCAATAATAGTAGAAACTGTTCCTAAACTTCTACAAGAAGGCATATAATTCTTCAGGGGGTTTTACGTTTATGTATAAATAGGTCATTTATATTAGTGTCATTCTCTATTATTCTATGCTGAAAGAGGTTTGTGAGACTACAAGTATACAATCATGAAAATTCTTTTTTTTTCCCCCCCCAAAATGTTTCCCATGGTGTGACATCCTGGGCAGTTATAACCCTAGGATTAAAACCACTGCTGCCAGTGCGGATGAAACCCAATAGTGTTGTGAGCACACGCTAGTGGAGAAGGTTTAGAATGAGATCTTCTATATTAACCCTACACTTTTACTTTGACAGAAATAAATAGCAATTGAGAATAAACCATGGCTACCTGTCAAGGGTTTTATTTAAAGGGGAAATAATCAATTATATAAGCTACTTTCTTCTCCTTACTGTACTTCTTAACATGAAGCAGTTCACTGGTAGGCAAGTATTTATCAATTCATTGGTTTATCCCATGTTTAATAAAACTGATATTAATATTTAAAAGGGAAAAGAAAAAGAATGCATTTATCTTGTACTTTTATGTGTTACCAATTTCCTTTCCATTGAGTTCAATAGAAGACACATAGTTTAAAGTAGTTTCATAAAACTGACCCTTTATAAATATTATAGAATAAAAGTAATGTAAAATTTGTCAGATTTACTGGCAAGTTTAGCATCTGCTCATTTTTGAATTAAATTCTATCATTCAAATCTAGAAACAGCATTAATACAGAACTAGCTGGGTAAAATATCTCAATTCTACATTTCAGTTTCAGCCTACAAACATAGTATCATTCAGATATCCTTATACTATTATGTCATTGTAGCATTTCCAATATTTGACCATTTTTGGCCTTTTTTTTTTTTTAAAGCAACTTCATACGGTTCAGTCAATTTGAAAGTACTCTGTATCAGAATAACTGTAAAACTATGGTTTCTTGCTGGATTCTGGGTAACCATCATTTGTATGACCCTTGATTTGTATTGTATTCAAGTTGAGGTAAGTCGTTTGGTAAAACACTGGCCCCATGGGTCTAAACAAGGAAGCATGGACTCCACAAAGTTATCACAGGCAGAAATGACTCAATATCACAGCGTGCTGAGGGAGGACATTCTCCCACAACCAGGAAATTAATTGCCATCCTTTGTTACGCACATACATTATATCACACCTACACAACTGCCTATATATATATATATATAACTAGCTCTTCCTTCAAAAAAAAGATGACCAAGATTGATACTTTTAAAACAATTCATCACAGATGTAGGTATGTCAATACAAACCTAGTCTACTGATCCAAAGTGCAAACAAGGCTTTTTAACACAGAAATTCTAGTTTCTCAAAGAGATTTCTATTAAAATTTATAAACTGTAAAATATTTGTTAAGGTGTATTTATTGTCTCTAAAACTGGATTCCCTCTCTACAAGAGAAAAATGTGAGTACTGTACTTCAGGTCCAGAAGGTCTATTTTTAAACCTGTTGGAATCTCTCTACAAATAGCTTTCTGTAAATAGCTGAATAGAGGACACAGATTAATTCCTTGATCTAATATCAAGTGAGCTGTAAAATTATTTGTAAGTTAGTTCACTGGGTGGTTTTATTAGTAATAAAAATATTTTAAAAGAAACACCCAAGTTCCAAACCTGTGTCTGCTGAAATGACTTCAGCCGCTTCTTAAACCGTGACGGGAGAACAAAATCACAGCCCCTTGCCAGGAAAGCTAACTCTCCCCTTAAATCCGGGTCCCTTCGTAGAGATGTTTCCTTGATCATCATCTTTGAAAAGTGGATGTTTACTTAGCAACTGTCCAGCACACTTTGACGATAGTCAGATTTAATAAGTTGTCAATCTCGTCAGGTAGAAAGGTATTTTCTTCTTATCTCCACAAGAAATTAAGTTCAAGCATTGTGCTCTCCCAGTCTCCAGGGACCACAATCCATGCTTGTACTGACATGCAGCTGGTTCCCAAATACAGCCAGTGGCACCCAGTACCTGCTCATAATTTTCAAGTTAGAAACACGCCTGCAGTGGGCTTGTTGCTCCTTGTAGACAGCTTTATGTCAAACTGACCTGCACATGTTGAGAATACAGAGCCTTCTGGGAAAGGAAGCAAGCACCCACTACTCTAGCACCAAAGTTAGAAACATTACAGCTGGACCTAAAAATAGCAACCTCTCAGATAATGCTAACTTCTTAAACTCAGAGTATATGAGGTGTCAATCCATGTAAATCAGTTTCTCTTCAAACTATTAGAAAAAGAACATGTAAAGCTTTTTTGATTTTGCTACTTATTTAGCATTTTTTGAAAACATGACAAGCTGCACTTCAAATTTGAATCTATAATTTTAAGAATAGTTTTTTAATTCTTATTTGAAGGGAAGCAAATATTCCACACCCTCTAGATACATCCAGTTAAAATATGGAGAAAAACAAGCTTCCATCTTCAAGTGCTAATACGGAAAGATCTGTGGGTCTTATATTTTAAAATCAAATCCTTTTTTCCTGGCTTGTGTGCAGAAGACTTTCTTAGTTATCTAATACACTTTTTTGGAAGTGATTCTGGATCTGGGCACATGTAAAAATTTATTGTCAAAGTACTGGTTAAGAAAGTGGAACAACTGAGGGGCGCCTGGGTGGCTCCGCTGGTTAAGCAGCTGACTCTTGATTTTGCCTCAGGTCATGATCTCAGGGGTTCATGACTTGAGCCCTCTGCTGGGCTTTGTGCTGAAATCGAGGAGCCTGCTTGGGATTCATTCTTTCTCTCCTCCCTCCCCAATAAAGAAGTAAACATTAAAGAAAAG